GAGCACTTCCACTCGCTGCATTCATCAGTCTGCTTAATAGAAGTGACACACAGGTGGCTCTTGGGAACAGCTCTGTGAGCAATGGAGAGCCAAAGTGCTGCAGGCAGCTGTGATAGGAGGGAGCAGTAAGAGGCTTCTTATTTATATCAGACATCTACATACATCTTATGTATAACATTAGGTTAATACAACAGCTCCTAAGAGCTGAAAAGAGAAATGTTGAGAGTGCAATAGCATGTTCTGTGCTCTTGAAGTTAGATATAGGCAGTTTTGCCATAAGCACGGCCTTAGATGCTTTCCAGAGGCTGCTGCGACTGGTTCCCCTTGCAGCCTCAGCAGTTAGAGTTGTCTGTAGATGGAGTTCAGATCAGACTTCGGGGTTGTTGCAGGAAGGCTGGAAGCAATGCATTGGTTTCAGTATTTAGTGCATACTGTGTTTGCTATTGGTTTCCAGACAGGTGCAGTGTTCCCTTACTCTGCTGGCTTTTCCTAGTCCCTTGAATCCAACTGTTTCTTGTCTGCCTTGTTCTGCACAATTTTCTTCTGTCGGTGCCGTGTGTGTCCCATAAATGCCCTTCTGGGATTTTTGCAGTTGGCAAATACAAGAGAAGTGCAACTGGTTGCTTTATAGCTAAACTATTCCTACTTAATGCTTAAATGCTTAAACCGGCAAGTGAAGCCAGGACTTTGTTTTGTGTTGAATTGCGTGCGGAGCCCGCGGGAGAGCCGCCCTGCAGCCGCCTTTGCGGGACGCGTGTGCCCTGGGCCGTAGCTCCAAGCACCAGCTCCGCAGCCGCGACCACCTCTTCCTCCCGCAGTGTTCCTGCAGCCCTGCCAGGATGCTGCTTGTGGAGCCTTATGGCAAACAGGAGTGCGAGCTTCTTGAGGATAAAAATACCTCCAAGTCCCGTGTCCCGGGATTGTTGTTGACACAGATCGGTGTGCAGGTTAGTTCAGCAGTCACCCCGCAAGCACTTCCTTCGCGGCTCCCCAGCGATGCCAGCGCACAGCTGAGCAAGGAGCTGCCTAGCTCGGCACTGCCGCTGCGAGGAGCGAATGTTCAATCATGCGCAGGTCCCGAGCGGTTTCCAGGATGTTTCTCTATTGCCCAGGAACCCTTCTGAGCCTTGTTATTTATCTGCCATCTCTTCCCTTTCCCAGAGTGCGGATGTTGCTTGGCCACACAGGAATGTTGAGAAACGCCTGGCTTGCTTTTGCTTGGGAGCTGTAATGTGCCAGCGCAGACATTTTAGTAATCAGCACGTAGGATTGTTTAATTTCTGTGAGTAAATTGCAAAGACATTTCCTCCTGGTGCTACCAATGTTGTGCCTTGCTCTAGCTGTTATCTTAGGCAAGCAAAAGAATTGTACTGGAAATCATTTTTTTAGGGTCATTTTTCTTCTTTGTTTTCTCTTTATTTTTTTTTTTCATTGCAAGTATGATCTTCCCACAACCTCGAGGGCTAATTACCCAGAGACAACGATGGTGTGTCTCCTTTAGAAACCCCAGTTAAAATCTGTCTCACTACCTGCAGTATTCCAGATACCCAGCACTACTGCCTGGGGTTGTCCATCTGCTCATGTTTCACTTGGCCAGGTTTGCTTTAGGTTTGATTTAGGAGTGTAATAGGGGCTGCCCAAAGCAGGTGCTGAGCAGTGGTGCCACCAGGTCTCTGTGGGGCAGAAATGCGGCTGGTTAAAATGCAGAGTTGCTGCCGCTTCTCCTGCCTCAGTGGGGCGAGGGGGTTTTGCAGGTGAGCGTGGGGCGGGCGCCGCGGGGCGCCGCGGAGCCGCGTTCCCGCCTTCCCCTCGCGTTCCCGCCTTCCCCTCACGTTCCCGCGGCAGCGGAGCGGGAGGCGCCGATCGCCCCCCGCGCCTGCCCTGAACGCGCTGCGCGGTTTAGCGGGCCCAGTGCCGCCCTGCCTGGGTCTCTGCTCTATATTTAATTTAGAGGTGAATGGACAGGGGTCTTCTCCCTTGCACCACTGTGTCTGAGTATCTGAGGCCTTTGGGACACAGGGTTTGCAATATCATTTTGAAATGAGTGGAGAACGCAAGGGATGGTAATAGCAGATACATGGCAGTGTTGTACCAGACACACTGACAGGATTACACACTGAGCTTCTGGTTCATCTTTATTCACATGCCTACAAAGGTGATAATTGTCAAGGAGCAAAATATATTAAAAAAGCACTCTAAACTGTAGGCTATGAATAGCTTATTATACCACCAAAGTGGATGAGGTGCAGAGTATTGTGGATAATTTATATACTATGTTTTTATCTTACCCAGTAAGGGCATTAGGTACCATGCACTCATGTGACAGGAGGGTTGCTAAAACCTTGATTCAGACGTTGTTTAAAGCATCACGTGCTGCGAGTTTCATGCTGGGCAACGACTTCTGCCTATTATTACCAATTACATTTAATTGTAGTTGTTGACTGCATAGTAATTGCTGATGTTTAAGTATCTCCTTGTGTACCTCACAAGCATTGAGCACGTGTCCGTACGCACTTACGAACATGTGCCGCAAGATGCGTTCGTGCAGATGCACAGTCATGTTGAGGTCATTTGTGCATCGTACAAATCATGAAGTAGAGGGAAAAGAGGAAAACATGGGGGCAAATGAGAAGTTTGTTGAATTACCTGAAATGGATTAATACAAGACACCAAGGTTAACACCTCTGTCCCTGCTTGCGCAGCTCTGATTTTTCTACAGCCGAGGTTGTCAAGCTTTTGTTTTCATACCTTGAAATGGACTCGATGCTGAACAATATCAAGATGCAGTTTTCTCTAAGCCCCCTACTTCATGCAGTTAGCCGTCTTTTTGCTCTTGAAAGAAAAAAATATATATATTGTGTTTCGCATTGGCAGATACACAAGATTAAGTGTGTTGAAAACATGAGAATTTACCAAGGTCCATCCACGGCCGTGGTTTACAGCAGCCACCCGTGAACAAACCTCCCTTCCTGCGGCCTCGGGCAGCCTTGGCGCGAGGGGCAGCGCCCGGACCGCCCCGCGCCGCCGCGGGGAAAGCCCTCCGCTGCCTCCCTCCATCCTGCCAGCAAAACAGCCAGCAGTGGCGTCTTGTTTCTAAAGTGCTTTTTAAATTACTTTTAAATAGTGATGGAAGGCCTTGGCCTGTTGGACAGTAGGTGAATGGCTAATATCAGATTCACCCATTTACATCAGATTTTGGATCTTTTAAAATACTGCATCCTGGCATTTCTGTGTAGCTTCCCACGTTTGCAGGAATGGGAATCAGAGAGTATCTGTCCGTTGCACTGAAGTGTTTTTAAATGCTAATCAGAGCTCACAGAAACAAAAAAAAGAGGAGCCTGCTGGTATAAAACTGTCTCCCAGAGACATCTGAGCTTCTGATTCTTTGTAAAATACAGCTGTATGTTTTGTGTGTTAAGTTGGACCAATTTTAATGCTAAAGTAAAATACCTTCCAAAAGAATTTTGATGCAAAACTCCTTAGGGCATCCAAAGATGCTGGAGAGGACAGAAACACAAGATCCTCCCAAGATCCCTCTGACTGGTGGGAGGATGCCAAAGCAGTTCTCAGAATACCTTTTGCAGGCCTCCATTTAGACTGGCTCAGTATGCTGGAACTGTATTGCAGGAGAGATGGACTAATTGAATTGTAGCTCCTATTTTTATACCTGCATTGAGCATTGCACTATTTCATTTACCAGCATCTCTTGGGGACAGATTGCCATCATCCTTAATCAATAAAATGTCACCAGCATCTCCCTGTGTTTGGAGGGACCCAAACTGTGCTGAGTCCTTCTTTTTTCAGGCCTTGGCAATACAGAGAAACTACTTCAGTTGTGTTAGTTTCTGTTCCAGAACTGCACTCTGCACAGTCATTTGCTTTTAATTAGAAAAAACCCTTCATGTTCTTGCAGAGTAATGTTCCCATGTTAGAGCTGCTGCCTCTCAAACCATCGCCCAGGGGCTCATCCCCCGCAGCTCTTGGGGTGCCCTTTCTGGGACAGGAGCGTGTTTCCTGCTGGAATCCACAGAACTTTTCCCTCGTGACAGCCATGTGATGGATAAGCCAACTGTCCGTTAGTGTAAGTTATGGCCAGCATCGCTCTGCCCAATTCAATCCGACTTGCAGCAAGGTTCTTTCCAGCAGGAGCGAAGCCGTGCAGCGAGTTGGCCCTTCTGGCTGTGAGATGTGGGGCCAGTCTCAGTCTTGCACACCCCTACTTCTGCCAGGTGTATTTATTTAGGAAAACAAAAACAAACAAAAAAATGCAGGTATTTCAGCCTGGTTTCTGAAAGAATGGCAGTCAGAGCCTGGCTTGTTTCTGTGTTTTCACCTGCTGTTAATACTAAAGTTTCCCTCTCCTGCGTGTGCTCCAACTCTTTCCAAGCAGATGGGAGGCCGCTCGTC